GTGTATGTATATCAAACAATTATTCACAGAGGACTGTGGTTCCTAGCACAAAGTGTGACACTTCAAATGAATTATGTGCTAACAGCAGATAATAAACCATATTAAGGTAACAGCCTTCCTTCAATCATTGGTAAGTGAATACATTCCAGAGAATAAGCAGAGGTTTTAATTGGCAATGCTTGTAATCCAGCTGTTTCACCCTGGTTCAGGCCAAATTTATATTTCAATGGTTTTTATTGAATAGTTTTACAAAGGAAAAAGACATAAGTTAAACAAACAATATCAATGAGCAGCGTTCCATCGTATATATACGAATAGAAACATCAAAACAACAAAGTCTTCCGCAACAATTGGCAGTTAAGACTAGACATAAATTGTGGCCAATTCAAGGTCAAGTATATCTCACCTTGCCAACATAGATAATACAATGCAGAACAGTACAAAAAGAGTAAAAAAGAGCAAAGGAAAGAGTAGAAAGGAAAGTCCAGATGAGGGTCATTAAGGCACAGAAAGGTATTGGATCCACGAGTTCCATTTGTTATCGAATTTCTTTGAGTTATCGTGTAGGAAACAGGTGAGTTTGTTGTTAATCATTATCCAATTAAGTTTCTTTTTAACATAGTCAAGTGGAATGACCGATTGCCTCCAGTATCTAGCTATAGTAATTATCGCTGCCAGAAACATATAGGAAATCAATTTATGAGATTTCTTGGGAACATTATCTGGAAATTTGTGAAAGAATGCCGTCTCCGGGGGTCTGCGAATATTTATACTCGGCAATGAGTTTACCAAATTGAACATTCAAATCCAAAATCTAGTTACAAGAAGGAATTGCCACCAGATGTTAATCATAGACCCAACCAGGCCACAACGCCGGAAACACAGCGCAGAGGCAAACGGATGCATCTTCGCAATCCGGGTAGGCACCAGATACCATCTCAACAAAGTTTTATAATTAGCTTCAATTAAGGTAGTATTGATAGAAATTTTAGACAGTGCCAAGGCGATATCTTGCCATTCCAATAATTCATAGTTGACAGCTAAATCTTTTTCCCAATGTTCCATGTAAGGGAGTTTACAATTCGAGTCAGTGAGGAGAGCATATATTGCAGAGACCCAACCTTTTGGGTAATCCCTATTCCTGCAAAAGAGTTCGAAGGCGGTGAGCAAAGGTGACATGTCCAATAAAGGGAGCTTCGAGCGGATAAATGGGACAATCTGGTTGTATCTAAAGATCTCAGTAGTAGGCATATGTAACTTAAAATATTGCAGAGAATGTATACAAGCACCATTAAGATACTCTTCTATCCGCAGCAAGCCCTTATTGATCCACCATTGAAAAGGGGCCGGTGTTAATCCAGGTACAAATTCAGGGTTGCAAAAAATCGGAGCAATAGGTGTATGTGGTGATGCTAGTGACTTGCGGTGGGGTACGCTGTCCCAAACTGCCAAGGAGAACGACAAGGTGGGGCACAATATAGGATGAGGTAATCAACTAGGAAGCCAGAGTAACGCCCCAATAGCCAAAGGGTAACAGGAAAGAGCTTCTACGGAAACCCATTGGGGAGTATGTCCCCCAACCGTAGTATAAGCTAGGTTGGGGGACATACTAAGCGATCTGCGCAGCTTGGAAGTACGCGTAGAGATTAGGAAGGCCAATACCACCCCACGATATAGAAGCATATAACGTATTCTGAAAAAACAAAGTAAAAAACTGTTGTTGGGTACCCCTAAATTATGTACCAGACTCTCTGGTCTAATCTGCATTTTAAAGGGGAACCCCATAAAAAAAGTGAGGTCCACTGCAAAAGCCATCCAGACACTAATTCGAGCATGCAGCCTGGCAGAGGGCAGTGTACCACAACCCCCATCCCCCTTGTCATTTACTTGACTATATTTCATCTGTTAGCCTAGAAAATTACCATTACTTTTTTTTTTCTACCTTCGGCTCCCATTGACTTCAATGGGGTTCAGATTTCTCACGTGAACTTCAATATAGTTTGGTGAACTTACCCTAAACTGAAACCAGGTACATTCGGCTTATCAGTATGATCAATGTATAAATGATATTGCATATCTGGAAATAGCATTTGCTATATTCAAGGAAATGTAAGCAGATAATCCGTCAATGCTTTATGTTTTTCAAAGCAGTAAATGGCATACATCCCATTTATGTTGTATGCACCAGGGATCCCAGCTCATTCCATCACCTCCCATTCATCGCTTCCTATTACATTTGTGACGCATATATGTTTTTAGCTGTACATTTGGAATTCAATGGGAAGTAGTACTTTCCTGAGTTGTTCTGTCTGTGGTCATCAAAATGGCTCACCAGGGAGCAAGATGTTGTGGGGGAGGATGCCGCTTACCAAACTTTTCCTGAGCGGTCAGACTGGATGGGTGGGAGGGGTGACACGTGATGATGTTAACACACTCCTTCCCCTAACATCTGTACTTCGTCAGGACATTTAAATGCATTCCATAAACAACTGTTTTCAAAAGAAGCAGCTATAGTTTTGGTCCCCCATAGTTGCTAGCAAAATATTAACATTTTCTGTTCTGAATAAAGGAGATTTTAAAACCTGTATAACAATAAAGGAAATATATGGCTAATAAATACTATTTAGAAAACTGATGAATTATCTGTCCTTACTTGTGCTATGAAATTTGTCAGGAAGGAAGAATCAGGTTTTAGGGCCGCTCCAGAACACAGTACGGGAAAGGTGCATTCTGTGCACTTTTCTGGTACAATTTTCAAAACACACTACCTGTGTGATCTGCTGCGGGTGCCAATACATTGGTAACACCACCCCAAATGGAGATTACAAACGCAGTGCATTTGTGGGGCACCAGATCGCATGGTGCCGCAGTACCATTGGATTGGAGCTGCGCATTTTTCAACAGCAGGTTAAAAAAAAAATCCCTCATTGCCCCTTCCTCCCAGGTGACAGCTGTTCAGGCCCCCAGTTGTTGCCATATGCAGCCTTGTGTGACTCTGGTCTTCCTGACTGTGCTGTACTGCGGCACCATGAGATCTGGTGCCCACAAATGCACTGCGTTTGTAATCTCCATTTGGGGTGGCATTACCAATGTATTGGCACCCGCAGCAGATCACACAGGTAGTGTGTTTTGAACATGGTACCAGAAACGTGCACATTTACATAGCCGCAAGTAAGTTTAGGCAACTGGTTGTGCATGGGCAAAGCACAGCTTATCACTCCCAATATAATCTGCGGCCAGGAGGATCCTGGCCCTTTAAAAACATTGGCCCAATTTATTTATAATATAAATAGCATGATATTTGCTATGCCTGGAAATAATGTTACACATCTGTAAGCGTATAAACAAAGAAACCAAAGTAAATGGCCCTCAAATTAAAGTGTAAATAAATATAATCTGGAATATCCACTCCCCACAGCCTTATAAATAGAAGGGGATTAGATTTGATTTTAGCTTTAGTTTGTCTACGATATTTTAAACCATGTTGTAAACGTGTCTTGTCTTTGTTATGGGAAGAAGTTGGTGCTTGGTTTTGTTGATCAGAACAATCACAGAGAATGTAAAATTAGAGGAAATTTTTGCTGAGAAAAAAATATGGGCTATTTTTGTACAAAGTACAAGTTGTCTACCTTTCATGCTAATCCTCTGGCTTCAATGCCATACTATATAGTCAACAACTGAGAATACATATTCATATCAGGAATCCTGAGTTCACTTTTGCTGAAAAGTTTTTCCTGGCCAGATAACTAGAATTTTCAGGAGGAAATCTGCACTAGCATATTTTTTTCTCATGGCTGGTCTCCTGTTACACTTATTAATATTATTATTATTATACAGGATTTATACATTTTAGTGCCAACAGTTTGTGCAGCACTTTACAATATAACGGGGGACAGGACAATTACAATACAGTTCAATACAGAAAGAATAGGAGGGCTCCACTCATGGAGTTTACAATCTATAGGTGGAGCTTCCAATTTAAAGGATATACAATTTAAAGCATATGCATTTGAAGCACGAAGGGGAAAACTTGCTTGTTTGCAATGTAAATCTTTCCAAATGTTAATTTTTTTAGACATTGCTTTCTACAAATTTTGTTACATTAATGTGTATTGAAAGCCAAATCTTTTTTAATACAGTTTTAAATACAGAAGTGTAGATTTGATTACCCCTACTCTAGAGAAATTTCCTCTCACTTCCTGTTGTGTCTACAAGATGGGAAGTAAAGAAAAATCTTCCTAATGAGAGACAAATTGCAATAAAAAAACTGACAAGAGGTTCTAATCTTCCCCTACTCCATGCATTTGCAGCTATAACAGCTTCAACACTTCTGGGAAGGCTGTCCACAAGGTTTAGGAGTGTGTCTATGGGAATGTTTGACCATTCTTCCAGAAGCGCATTTGTGAGGTCAGGCACTGATGTCAGACGAGAAGGCCTGGCTTGCAGTCTCCACTCTAATTCACCCCAAAGGTGTTCTATCAGGTTGAGGTCAGGACTCTGTGCAGGCCAGTCAAGTTTCTCCACCCCAAACTCGCTCATCCATGTCTTTATGGACCTTGCTTTGTGCACTGGTGCGCAGTCATGTTGGAACAGGAAGGGGCCATCCCCAAACTGTTCCCATAAAGTTGGGAGCATGAAATTGTCCAAAATGTCTTAGTATGCTGCCGCCTTAAGAGTTCCCTTCACTGGAACTAAGGGGCCAAGCCCAACCCCTGAAAAACAACCCCACACCATAACCCCCCCCTCCACCAAACTTTACACTTGGCACAATGCAGTCAGACAAGTACAGAGACAGAGAAGCTTGAGTCGTCACTCCAGAGAACACGTCTCCATTGCTCTAGAGCAGGGGTGGGCAACTGTGGCCCTCCAGCTGTTGTAGAACTACAAGTCCCATGAGGCATTGCAAAACTGACAATTACAAGCCTGACTCCCAAAGGTAGAGGCATGATGGGACTTGTAGTTCACCAACAGCTGGAGGGCCACAGTTGCCCACCCCTGCTCTAGAGTCCAGTGGTGGTGGGTTTACACCACTGCATCTGACCCTTTGCATTGCGCTTGGTGATGTAAGGCTTGGATGCAGCTGCTCGGCCATTGAAACCCATTCCATGAAGCTCTCTACGCACTGTTGTTGTGCTAACCTGAAGGCCACATGAAGTTTGGAGGTCTTTAGCTATTGACACTGTAGACAGTTGGCGACTTCTGTGTACTGTGTGCTTCAGCATGTGCTGACCCCGCTCTGTCATTTTATGTGGCCTACCACTTCATGGCTGAGTTGTTGTTGTTCCCAGTTGCTTCCACTTTGTTATAATACCACTAACTGTTGACTGTGGAATGTTTAGTAGCAATTACATTTCACGGATGGACCTATTGCACAGGTGACAACCTATCACGGTACCACGCTTGAATTCACTGAGCTCCGGAGAGTGACCCATTCTTTCACAAATGCTTTTAGAAGCAGTCTGCATGCCTAGGTGCTTGATTTTATACACCTGTGGTCATGGAGGTTATTGGAACACATGAATCCAACGATTTGTAGGGGTGTCCCGATACTTTTGGCAATATAGTGTACACCCTGTGTGGATGTGTAACCAAAAGTCATAGGGCCCTAGTACAAAATTTATTTTATACAATATCTTTTGACTGTCCCATTGGGCCCTTTTCTTATTTTTAATTAAACTGGGTAAAATTTCATCTATTTTCATACTATTACACTTTAAAATGACAATTAAAACAGAAGTTAAACAAAGTAATAACACTTATCTGTTACACACTGAGGTCTAGGAGACCACACTTCAGTCTTCAACTGATGTGTCCCACCAATGTCTCTAGGATCAAGACAGATTACAGATCTCTTGATGTTTGTTAATACAGCAGGACTCGTATTTTCTTCATAATCCGATCTCTGTGTCTAGGTGAAAAGGCTTTAGATGCCCTGTACCCAGGGCCCTGGATAAGGGGGTACCACCAGTCCTCCTGTACAGGGCCCAGGCCAGCAGGGGGGCCCAGGCAGCTGGGTAAATTGGATGTGGGCAGGGAGGGTGATCAGTATGGCGGAAGGGTAATTACTGAAACCATTCCTCTGTATGGCTTCTTCTCCTCAGCTTCCTGTTGGCTTTCAGCTGCTGCAGAGAGAGCTACACAGGGGATCGGTTCCAGTAATTGCCTCCTTTCCCGCTGCACCCATCACCCTCCCTGTAAACCATACATTTTCCCCTTATGCCCTGGCCCCCTCTGTGTTCCCCCACTCCCAAAGTGCTGTCGGCTTCCCTCCTCTCATTTACACTGGCAGCTGCACAATAGGATCCTTCAGGATGGAGAGTGGGGGAAGGGTCTGGTAAATATGTAAACATTTACCAGCCCCTTCCTTTCCTGAATGAACACAATGAGTGACTGGTACTGACTGGTGTTCATTTATAACTGACTGGTGTGTTTTTTTTTGGGGGGGGGGGGGGGGGCCTGTCAGATTAGCTATATGGGGCCCTGTGGTTTCTAACAGCTGCCCTGCCTGTACCCGTACATGACTGTCCAAAACTTTCTAATCTTGACATAGCATCATCCCACTCTCCCTCCAAAGACCAGAGATGTGATGATGTTCATTCCTAACAATGACTGCCTTGAGTTTGTTTTCCTCTAGTGTTCAGCTTAGCCATTGTAACATCACTTCCTGGAAGCAGAGGGAGAGAAAGACTGCTTCTGAGAGCAGGGGATCATGGAACACATAGGCCAGAGAGCTGGGTTTTACATGGAGCCAGTGTTGCCATAAACTACAAGTTCCAGCCGGCTGGGAAGAGAAGGAGGAATGCTGGGAGAGGATATAAATAGCCCGGTCTTGGAAAAGTTTACGCTCTTGAGACCATGGCCTTTAGCTGAGAAGATGGGCCTGGCAGCTGTGCACAGTGTGAGCAGGCCTCGTAGCCCGGACATCGGGGAGAGTCTTCAGTGAGAGTGTCATACACCTGCAGGTGGATCCTCCATCTCCAGCTCCCTGTTGGTTGAGTGACTGTCATGGGTCACTGTCATCGTTACCATCACAGACCCATCGGAATCCAAGAGACGCCAGCTGCACGGTTCAGGCACCCTTCACTGGTTACAGATTCTTCAAGAGCCTGTTCTGGGACATCCCATTCCCTTAAGCCTGGGTATCAACAGGATTGGAGAGTGGCCAGAAGCCCACACTGTGTACCTTCTACAAAAGCACTGCATGCATACACCTTTACCCCATCTTTTTACACAAAGCTTCTAGCAGGAAATCTTTTGCATATGCGATTCACCATTTCTGGTCACCGTTCTACAACATTGTTTCCAGGCCCAGGTTGAGCTAGCTGAAGATTCTAAACATCTATACCACCAGGCCTTCTCTCTTCTTCTTTGACCCTCCCCCACATAAAGAATTCAATGTATTACATCTGTGTGTATTAAGGGGAACTCTTACCCAAAATTTGCTTGTTGTACTCTTCACATATTGAGTTCTTTTACATTGTGCTGATACTTTCTGTGCACATAGCATCAAGACTTTAAAGGAACAGCTTGACCCAGAAAGGTCTTCATTTTCCCTTTTATACCTGAGGTCATAGGTTCTTTCAGGGCCTATCGGTAATCATTGTTTGCTTTACTGTGATATCCTTTACATTGCATATCTGTGTTCTATACTTGCAGAGACTAAAGAATTCATAATGAAAGATATCTGCAGTAACATACCTTTCTTACTGTTGACTTAAGAACCCTCAGTAATAACTCAGTTGCTTTACTATAGTCTGGTGTCTTTGGAATTGTGATCTTTTGTGAACTACTGTATGTCTGAACCTAAAGTGACTGAGCTGTCAGGAGGCTTGCAAGGTCAGGGCAACCTTTGGGGACCATCACCTTCCAGCAGCCCCTGAAGGGGTGGCACTACACAATTTACTGTTTATATTTGTGTTACCCTTAAAAGTCCACCCAAAGTCAGTTAGTTGAGGTTCCAAGCACTCCTTTCCTTATATTCAACCATTTCATTCATATTTGCCATTTAGACTGACCTCTGTAGACATTAGGATTATGAAGAGTTCCAGTGACCTCAAGCTTTATTTGATAGTAATAGCCAAGTAAGGAAGGCACAGGATATGGTGAATCAGATCAACAGCAGGCCAGTCTACATTACAGATTTGACTTTATTAGTCAGATAGGACACATAAAAGCAGATAATTCTCTATTGTTATGTTTCAGCTGGTTAACGAGGCCTTAAAGTATAAGTAAAGGCAAGACTTTTTTTTGATCTAGTGGAGAGGTATTAGAACATCTATCAAGTTTTTAGTGCTGTCTGTGCCCTCGTTAGGGAGATTCACCCTCTCTATTTTTTCATGTTTACTGTTTACACCGAAAGTGAAAGAAAATAACAAATATTGGGGTTGTCCCCAGAACAGGAACAGAGGGGAAATCTTGAAATAAGGACATTAGTTCTGGTGACAACTAGGAATTCCTCACGTTGGCTGCATATTCTCTTATGCCTCTGAACCCCTGTCCACATTCTTGAAGCTTGCCCATCCCTTTCTACCTCCTGCACATTCTTATTGGTCAGTAAGGTGGTCGGCCAAAAGTAATATATGGTACAGGAAGTGTCTGAGCTTTGCCTGTAAGAACTGACCAAGATTCATCTACAATAAGAGTGTTTAGTAGCACCTTTATGTGCCTGTCCTTTACACCTGCATTATTTTTTAGTTTGAATGACAGGGTCTCTAAGCACTAAGGATTTTGGGACTTCCAGCAGGCACTGACTGAAGCCTAAACTACATTGGTGACAGTTTACTAAAATGAGGTGCCATGTTAACTCTGGTAGGATGAAGGGCTTGTTTACAGGCTTATCTCAGTCAAAAATTCTGTGCTTTGGCCTGGCCTTTTTTTCCTCATTCCTAAAGTGATTGTAAAGGTTACTTTTTTTTTCATAAAAATAATAAATATGTTATACTTGCCTGCTCTTCTGGGATCCCCCACCAGCACTCTCAGCTCCTCCTCCATTCTGAGTGCCCCCATAGCAAGCTGGTTGCTATGTGGGCACATGTGTGTTTGTGCTCCCGAGCCGGACTATGTGCATCTGTAGACACACACACAGTGTGGCTTGCCCTGACACCGGCAGGATTTGATTGACAGTAGCCGTAGCCAAGGGCTCTAGCTGCTCTGAGTTCTGTGAGGAGAGAAAGAGAGAGCAGTGCTGCTGCTCTCAGCACAACACTGAATCGAGATAGGACTCAGGTAAGTGTTTATGGGGGCTGGGGGTAGATCCTTGAAGGTTTTGTAGGATTTATGCAGAGTGTGCATTAAGGTAAAAAAGCCTTTACAACCACTTTAAGGCCAACCATTACAGTGCCATAATGTAGGTACAGCAGGGGATGGCAAACTAAGTGAATTTGTAGCTGACATTTGGGCTCCGGGTATCACAGTTGCCCCCTGATGATGTTTGATCTGATAACAGGTGGGGGAATAATTAAGAAACAGCAGGAAAGGTGCAGGGAGCACAGATCCACAGAAAAATAAAATCAGACAGGGAGATTCTTCCACTGAAGATACAGCTTTCCCTCCAGCAAGGAAACTGTGAGCAGTGAGCCATCACCAAATCTGACTCCAAATTATGTGAGACCAAGAGTACAGTACGGGACTGCCTAGGCACAGAAAGTGCACTGCTATAATTCAGGAGGAATTCCAGGAAAAGGTAATTTTTCAGGATACTGCTAGGATTGTTTTATTCTTATATAAATATGTTTTATTTTTCTCTTTCTGGTGTCCTAGCATTATGAAGAAAGATATGGAGATGTGATGTACAAGATAACACAACCTAAGGCTGCCCATAAAACCTACTAGGCCAGTCAGCAGCCCATGCACTATCTGGCTGCCCTCAAGTGCTAGGATGTGGTACCAAGTCTATAAAATGAAGCTTTCTGCTCCAGACAGGGCATTTTACTTATTCAACCTATGGTTCCCTCAGATAGCAACTGGAAAGGTCTGGGGGCTTCTAGTTGTCATTGATTGATCTGCCTGTAACTGAGTGACATCTTTTAGTTCCTTAACAGTTCTTTTTTCTGGTTCTTTATATAGTTCTCTAAAACCCCTTTCACACGGACTGCATCCTTTTCTGTTTTTCTACAACTAAACATGATAGATTGGAGGTGACCTAATGTAAGCTAACACAACTCCAGACACAGCCCATAGCTCCATAATGGATCTATCACAGTCTGCTGTTAAAATGCAGACAAAAAAAAAACAAAAAAATGGGCATGGATGTCACAAACATGACATCAGTTGTGTTCTGCTCTGATTCAGCAGAGGATCTGCTGACATATTTCCTGCTGAATAGAGCTTGGCTGGTCGCTGTGAAAGGACCCTTAACGAAACCTTAGCTGAGCACTAGCAGGGACAGATATGTATTTTCTTTTCCCTTTCTTTTCCACAGTCCAACTTTCTTCTGCTACTTTTACCCCCAACTCCAATGAGTGGC